CATTCATCCTGATTTGCTTGCACGATGTTTATTTGGCTTCCTCTTAAGAATTTGTTCAGCCCTCACTTTCCAATGTATTTCCTTGTAACTTTCCTAACAGCAAAAGTTCTGTTTCTTTTTTAAAGTGGCTTTTTATGCAAGAGCACTAGAGCCCTTTAATCCAATTTAACTGTTAAAACTTAAATTTCTGGTATGCATTTGAATTGCTCCTGCAAAACAGTGGTAGTTTGTAAGCAGCCACTGTAACGCAGGCCTGAATTAGACAGGTCTAGTGTTCTGCAGCATACCTAGTAGAATTATTAATCCAGTTCTGATAGACCAACCCATTTAGTTTCCCAATCTCTCTCTGGCTGCATATACACCATACTTTGAAAGCATAGTTGACGCACACTGAAGGACCTACAACATGACTTTCCTCAGAGAATCCTAGGAACTGCAGCTTACCCCTCACAAAGCTACAATTCCTAGCACCCTTAACAGACTACGGTTCCCAGAATTCTTTGGAGGAAGCCATGTGCTTTAAATGTATGGTGTGTTTGCAGCTTTTCCTATCTCTCCCCCTCCCCTCACTTTGTAATTTAATGTTGCGCTCACCCACAAAGTACAGTACATGTGGAGATTAGTCTTAAAATGTTCTTTCTCAGAATCTTGGAAAGCATTGGCGATGGCCTGAAATGCACTATACGTTCCGTGATTATTTGGCCTTTCTGCAGTACCTTCCATTCATAACATGTACCTTCCATTCCTACATGCACCCCACAACCCCAACCACTCTGCCAGCATAATACAGCTTGTCATTTCTGAAACCACATCATAAAGAAAGGGAGGGATCTGCTCCGAAGCACATGGCAATACTGAAGGTAGAGAGCCAAGATGAGGTCCCATTGTTTGGTGGAGCCAATGTGGAACTTCGTGTTGCTGTTGGGGGAGGAGGGGTTGCTGGGGGTGGGTGGGTGAGTGGGAGTAGAATTGGTACAAATCAGCACCCACTCATGGTTAAATTGCTTAGATGCTTCCTAGGCTAATAAAGGTTCCATCTTCTTTTCAGATACAGCCGGTTGGAAAATTTTCAGAGGAGAAGTTTTCCCCAGTGGAAACAGGAAGGATGTGGAGGGACGGAGGCCAAGAAATCTAGCAAGTTTCAAAGTGAGATTGGATGGCTGGACTGCCTTGGCCCACTGTAGTTAAGGCTGGGGAGGAAAATGGGAGGGAGAGCCAGTTCTCTGGTGCCAGGCTAAAGCTAATCTGTAATTACTAGGGGTAAAAATCTGAGCAGGGGTGGGATCAGCAACTGGCATCCTTGGGTAGCTTGCCAAGCCCCCAGTGCCCAAAGCAACAGACAGTTTGGAGCTGCCGTCTTATTTTTCACACCATAAGAGCCTACTCTTAGGGGCCATGGGGGCTTCGGTGCTCACAATAAAATATTTGAGGGGGCCAGGCCCCCACAAAGTTGATGGGCATTCCCATTTAAATACAGTGGTACCTCTGGATACAAACAGGATCCGTTCCGGAGCCCCGTTCGCATTCTGAAGCAAACGTAAGACGTGACTGCGCGGGTCGTATTTCGCCACTTCTGCGCATGCGCGTGATGTCATTTTGAGTGTCTGTGCATGCGCGAGCGGCAAAACCCGGAAGTAACACGCTCCGTTACTTCTGGGTCGCCGCGGAGCGCAACCCGAAAATATTCATCCTGAAGCTACTTCAACCCTAGGTACGACTGTAGTATGTGTGTGACAATGTCATGTGATCGATTATGCAGGGCAGGGCTTACCTGGGCCCCCACAATATTTTATTCAAGTTGGCACCCCTGTTCCACGCAAAGATCTGGGGCAGCGGACCTAGACTACTTTGGGGCACTGTGAGTAATTTAAGTTGGTGGATAATAGTTGAACAGCCACTGGGTGTGAAAGAACCTCCAAGCCGCACTCAAACGAGTAACCAAAACTCTCCTGCAATTGCGTTTTATTACAGAAGACACAGGACTGCAGTGATCTAACTGGAGACAGCATCTGGATGTTCTTTTAAAAGCGAGTGAACAACAGATGACAATTTCAGAGGGCCACAGAGGTTTCAAGTCTGTGTACAGACCATATAGACCAGGGGTCGTCAAAGTTTTTGTGGCTTGGGCTGATTCACAGTCCTGCAGACGTCGCAGTGGGCTGCAGTGTGTGCGCACGCACGCATGCGCAAACACTATTTCTGGCACGGAGGAGGCGTGCGCAGCTTCCCATTGGCTGCAGGAGATTCCTGCAGCCAATAGGAAGCCGACCAGCGTCACGGAAGCAGTCCCCTCTCTGCTCTGTGCCGGTTTAGTGCGGCGCACGGGAGCCAACCGAGAGGGTGGTTGGAGTCCATGGGCCAGTTAAACGACCCCCATGGGCTTCTTGTGGCCCATGGGCCTTAGGTTGCCGACCCCTGATATAGACCTACATAAACCAGTGTCTGATTTGGCCCAGGGCAGCTTACTATATTTCGATGGCTACAGATAGAGAATTGTTGCAGGGTTTGTATGTGTATGTGTATAAAAGAGAACATATTTGTGTGGTCTACAGGCATATGGTCATATTTAGAGAAATTACAGCAATTGTTAAGAAATCAAAAATATTTAGGGCAACACTGATTGTGGCTGCTTTTCCACTCCCCTGCCTTTTCCCTTTGAATTTTTGAGGACACGGATGAAATCTGATGACCAAAACAGGGAGGGCTTGCTGTTTAAGCCACAGCAGCACAGGCCCTGCCTAGCCCAGCCAGCCAAAAGGGAGTAAAGATCTTTAGGGAATGTGCCTTGGAACTGGCTTGGCTGGCTGCTGTGCAAACCCTCACCCAGATGCTTGGAGGGTGGAACATGTTTCTGTTTTTGTAAATTGTTTGTTTGCATTAGCTGCTTCATATCCAGCATTGTTCTAGAATTTAGTGAAATATATATATATATATATATACACACACACACACGGTATATATATATATATATATATATATATATATATATATGTTCAGTTGCAAGCCACAAAACAAAACAAAATGCAGCAGTGCTACTGGCAAGGATCTTTGATCTCGATTAGAGCCAGAGGCCTCTGAGTAATTCATATTTTGAATGCGTTGCTATTGAACCAAGCTGTAGTATTATCCCACCATATCCAATCCAGCAAGACAGTTCCCAGTATTACAATATGTGCATACAACTATGTCTGAAGCGAGCAATTGCATCAACTCCCCATGTTTCTGGTCTGGATCGCTCATTTGTAGCGTGATACTTGTGCAAAATATCACAGAACAGCAGAAATAGGGGGGCCCTTATGTGTATTAGGGGGTTTGTCCCATTGTCCAGTTTCCTAATTGCACATGCTTCCTCTAATCCCATGAAATTGTTTTCACTCCTAAGGAAACAATGCGTTGTCTCCAATATTAGAGTAGATCCATTAAAATTAATAGGCATGATTAACTGTTAATTTCAGTTGGTGTACTCTGAGTAAAAGCTGGCTGGATTCAGCCCTTTATTAGTGATTGCTAAGGAATGATGGTGCACACTGTTTAAAAATGGATTTTGAAACCTTTTAGAACTCAAATGGCAAGTTATTGCTTTGGGAAATCAGGCAGTCATTCATTTAACAAAAATAAGAAATTAATTTTGTTTTTAAAAAGGGTATTGTGTGGATCTTTGGATATGGGCTGTACTGCACAATTTTTAAATACGTCTCTGGATGGTGAAGGGGAATGAATGCATTAGTTGTCATCGATCATGCCATGGGTGTTACAACAGTTTGTATATATATATACAAGTAAGAGCTGTTGACACGCATTTTTTGTAGCAGGGCTACCACCTAGTTTTGGTTTTTTATCATGTTGCTTTTGAGGTGTCATGAAAAACCTAAAAAGCTGGTATGAGCAGAAACCATGGTGGGACAGTAAAATTCACATTTGTAACACAGGTGATGATTTCTCTATAATGCTATCTCTCTTGAATGGCCTGTGGTACTGTACAACTGCAGCTGCCCTATTAAATTCATTTGATAGATTATGTGACAACCTCTGCAGATTTCCATAGCAAGCATCTCATGTAGCCCAGCTGACCACCATAGCCCAGCATCACTGTAGTAGCCTAGCTGAGACAGAGGAAGCTGCTTTATACTGAACCAGACCACAGGCCCATCTAGCTCAGTATTGTCAACTCCAAACTGACTGGCAGTAGCTCCAGAAGTTGGTCCTGTTTAAACAAACAAACAACAACAACAACAACAACAACAACAACAACAATAAATCAGCACAGCTCCAGCCAGTGATATCAAATCACCTCCCAGCTTTTGTGTGTGCATGCAGTTAAGTGTGTTTTGTGCCCGCCACACATTATGGGCTATTAGGTATATTTTAAAATCCCCTCTGAAAGCACAGCTGCATGAAATATGGACTGAGTGAAGACATCCCGTCATCACTCTGGAGTGAAGGGGGAAAAGCTCCCTGTTGGTTTTATTTATTGGAATATTTGTTTTTAATTTAGGAATTAAAAGGAGATGCTTGGTCAAGGGGTTTAGTGTCTGGAGCTGAAGTTTTTCAGAGGCTGGAGTAGATCAGCATCAAGCCTGAAACCGTGTAAAGCAGTTCCTTCTCCTTTGTGGATATACAGAATGTCAGCAGCACAAATGTCACTTTGAAGCTGGTAGTCCTGAACCTGCAGCCAGGAAGAGCCTCTGTAAATGTTGAGCCACCATGCTGGATGTGTATTCCAGCCTATGCTCAATGGATCTAGGAGAAGCTGTGGGCTCCTCTCCCTCTAGCTCCATTTTGACAGGCAGCAGCTCTTCAGGGTTTCAGGCAGCAGCCTTTCATCAGTCCAATTTTTTTATTTAATTATTTCATGAGAATTTTGATTGTAAAATGACTAAAAGTGGTTTACAAAAAGATAAAACCAAGAAAAAAATAACAACTCATCTAGCTCAATATAGTCTACATGGACTGGTAGTATCTCCCCAAGGATTCATAGAGGAGTTCATGCCAGCTGTACCTGGAGTTGCCAGGGATTGAATCTCAGAGCACCTGTTTGCAGAACAGAAGCTCTGCCACTGAGCTATGACCTTCCCCCAAATAGAGAGGCTAACAAAGTGAGAATTTTTATGTGATAGGCAGCTGCCTTATACTGGTCAACAGTCCACCTATCTCAGTAATGTTGACACTGACAGGCAGCGACTCTCTGGGGTTTCAGGCAGGAGTGTTTCGCAGTTGCACTTAGAAATGCAAGAGATTGAACCCAGGACCTTCTGAATGCAAAGCACATGTTCTCCCACTGCCCTTTCCTTCTACCACCAAGCTACAATTCAGCATCTTGTTTCCTGGAAGCCCCAAAGCAAGGGTATAATGGCAACAACCTTTACCTGTTCTTTGCCCATCACTAACTGGATTCATTCACGTGCTGCTTCAGAGCATGAGAGGTAATAACCAACATGGCTCATAGCTATTAGTGGATATCTTCACCTTTGTCTGTTTCTCTTTTAAAGCTTTCAAGCCAGTGGTCATCACCACATCTTTTGGCTAATTTAAACTTAGTTTTGCCTTCCCCAAATCACTTGCCAGTCAGTTTCATTTTGTTTTCTTTTAACCATGCATACTTTTATAAACTTTTAGTTGAGGGTGATGGGCTGCAAAAAGGGGTGTAGGAAGGCATCAATTTCTGCTTTACCCCATGCAGTGCTGTTTCTGCTCTGCTGCAGTTTGACTGCTGAATAAATCTACATTTGTCTCGCTGTCTGGAAAGGCAACAAAGGAGATGTAATTAATTATATCATTACATTACTCCACACCATTCATTTCAATGCTAGGGAAGCACAATGCAAATTGGAAGAAAAAACATCATAAATTACATACAGTTACATATCATTTGTGGATGGAAAACAACAACAAATAGCAACCATATATTCCTTGGATTGATTTCCATTCTGGACGTGGGGCAAATGAGCAAACACTTGCAAAATCTGATCCTTTTTCCATTTCCATTAGAACTCTCCAACATTCCTAGATGCGAATAATATGGGGTAGGAGAGAAGTAGGTACAAAAGAGAGTTGCTAAGTGGGTGGCATTAGCTACTCTACCCCACCCTGAGCCTGGTGAGATGACCCACTGCAGAGGGCTTGCCAGGGAGATCTCCCTGCTTGCAGTGGATGCTAGTCTATTGGGATGAATGAGATACTGCCTCACCAACCTCAGTGGCCCCACCTGTCTGCTTTCCTACTTCCAACTAGTCCAGGAGGTGTTACACTGCCTGTCAGCTTCCTCCTTCTCAGTATCAGTGTTGCTTTGTAGAATTGAGCAGAGAGGAGGATGGAGACAAAATAAGAAGTAGCTGTCTGTGCCTGTCATTGCCTCTGACCATCACAGGAAGGACTATATCTCAGTGGTAGATTATTTGCATTGCAAGCAGAAGGTGCCAGGTTTAATCCCTGGCATTTTCACATAAGGCTGGGAAAGCTCCTGGCCTGCAACCCTGGAGAGCTGCTGCCAGTCAGTGCAGACAATACTGAACTAGATGATCCAATGGCCTGACTCAGTATAAGGCAGCTTCCTATGTTCCTATGTTCTCTGGTTGCACCTACTGTTGGTCTCCCAAGCTTTTGCCCTATCAGTCCCAATTGGCACTGATCACTATTGCATGCCAGATAGAATTCTTGTGTGAGGGCTTTCCAACCCACAACCCCCATGGCCCCAGTGGTAAAACAAAACCAAAAATATTTCAGTTTATGGTGTCGCTGGGAGGTCCTTCATCATAGGTCTCTACAAGAGAGGCCAGAGGAACACTGCCCATCTCACCACCGTCTCTTTACATCTGTGATTGTCCATTCTCTTTCTAGGAGATTGTTGACTCAATGGGTTTGATAGCATTTTTTTCTGCTGCCTTTGCCTATGTTTGTGCGCAAGGGAGGAAACGGCCCTGTTCAGTGCGCCTGTTTTCTCAAAGGCCCCTTTTCCATCTGTGCAAACAACAAGCTCGTTATGAAAGCCCCTTTAATTGTCCAAGCCCACATGCACAACATTTACCGAAAGGTTCAGCTGGACGGCGAGAGTCATGTCCTTTTTTTCTGCGGCAGCGGACACAGCGCCATAAATCATCCCCTCCTCCCTCCCGTGGCTTGCCTATGTAAACGAGAGGCTTTACCACATCTCCAAACCCCAAGCAAAAGCCTTTTCGGCTTTTTCTTTTGTTATTGCAGCAAGAGATCAAGAACAAACTCCTTCTTCACTGGGAAACAGCCTTTCCTGGTCTGCAGAAAAATGAAAAGGAAGGGCATTGTGTTGCCTTTGAAAGGGGATTAAAATGTGAGCAGATCATGGGGAAATATAATCATTTCTATCTCTTTGCCAGATCTGAAAGGCCTTCCTTTTCTTGTCAATAATGCATTCAATCTCACTATCATTCTCACCAAACCAGTCCTGGTGTTTCCTGGTTTGGTATCCAATAGTTTGTTCACAGGCTGCAATAATGGATGCACTTAGCTTGGTTCAGTGTTCCTCAGTGTTATCAGGGAACTTCAAAAGCAGATGATCCTTAAGAGTCATTTGGAAGCAATCCCACTTAATAGGATCTTGAAGGGCTTGAGTGTTCATTTTCACCTTGGTTTCCTTCCTTGAAGCCTGCATTGAGGTACAGTGGTACTTCTGGTTAAGAACTTAATTTGTTCTGGAGGTCTGTTCTTAACCTGAAACTGTTCTTAACTTGAGGTACCATTTTAGTTAATGGAGCCTTCCACTGCTGCTGCGCTGCCGGCGTGCAATTTCTGTTCTCATCCTGAAGCAAAGTTCTTAACCTGAGGTACTATTTCTGGGTTAGCGAAGTCTGTAACCTGAAGCGTCTATAACCACTGTGTAATATTGATGGCTGCTGGAGGGCCACAGATTCCCCGCCCCTGGCCTAGAGATATGAATGTGACGTGCTATGTAAGAGGTAACCTGCAAGGCTTACTCAGTTCACCCTGTTGCTCTCTGTGCAAGAGCAAATTGAAACCATGAACTCTGGGGCTCTTCGAGTAATTAATATTGCAAATGTTTCACAGCCTGGGCTTTGCTGGGGCTGGTAGTTGAGAGGGTGGAGGGGAGAGACCCGTTCCCTCATCGATCCTTGCCAGCGTTGACAGGAATGGACCAGTCATTAATAGGAACAGGATTCCTTTGGCTTCTACTTTGTACCATGAAGCCCTGTCTGGAAAGGCTGGAAAAGGGCCACATGCTGTTTTACAACTAAAGGAAAAACAAATTATTTCATCATGGACAAAAATCCTGCTTACCCTTTTAAGTTCCTGGGTACTGAGGGTTGGAGGCGCTATAGCAAAGACTGGTCATGCCTTGGTTTCAGGTGTTTCTTTTCTCTCTTCTTCCTTTTCTTGGCTTTTAAGAAACTTCTCTCTGAAGAGTTGTAAATGTAGCTGGATTTCTAGAAGAATAGGATATTCAAGCCTATCCAGAAGCCAGGTGTGCTGCTCTGGATCCTCTCAAATTTCTTTTAAATTCCTCCTTAAAAAAATCACATTTTCCATGAAGCCTTGGACTAAACCCCTAATTTCCCATGACCTGCTCACATTTTAATCCAAACCAGAAAAAAATAATTAGGAATTTGCCATGCTCAGTTCCTTAATGAGACTAATTGAAGCGCATATCCAGATTCAACGCTGGTGCCCTTCACTGGTGTTTACACTGGCAAGCTAGCTTTCTGCAGGAGAGACTTTACTACAGAGGAGCATTTGAACCAGCACTCCATCATCCTTCACCCTGAAGTGGCACCACACAATCCCACATGTCTGGAAGACTTGCCTTTTCTGACAGAATCCATCATTCCTGAGAGTGTGGGAGGCTAGCCAAGGGGCAGCATGCATACACACATATACACACACTCAAGTTTTTTGTGGTTCCCCAAGAGATCCCAAAAGTTTGTTAATCTTTTAAAAAAGTAACTTGCTGGGCTGCCATGATACCAAAAAGTTGGTGGGTTGGTAGTTTGGGTTTTTTTGTGTGGCCCAAAAGACCCCCCTCACTTTTTTTTTCATTTTAAACTTTTTTTTAAATAATTGACTGCTCATATATGTCCCCTGCTGTGATACTAGAATGCGTTTTTCTTGTGGGTCCCCAAGACCTCCTCAAATGTGTCCATTAAACATTTTTTTAAAAAATATATACTATAACTGACCATTTTTGTGGGTCCCTTGCTGTGATTCTGTGATGCCATTCCCCCCCCCCAGCCACACCCACCACATTTCGGCCCACTTTTATACCTTGACCGCACCCACTTTGACATGTTCCTCTATCTCAGAGATTCCAAAGAAATGTAGGAAATAATTGCAGTTTTGTAGACGCAGCGCATGGCTGATATTGCATGATGTTGTAACCTTGCTGCTGCCTAAGCAGGGCTAGGCCCTTGATGAACACTCCCAGAATCTTGGGTAACAATGCGTTGAGCAGAGTGATGGAGAAAGAGGCAAGAGATTTAATTTAAATAATGATACCACCAGGAACTGATTTAATGCATTTTTCTACACCAATGTAAAAATGCAGTTGACCCAATACTGCTTCAGAGCTGGCCCAAGTTACAGCACCCTACATCTGAAGGAAGAGGGAGACTGGAGAGTTCAGAATTCCCCTTACTTCCCTCCCAGAATATACTGGAGAACAAATAGCCACATTTAGAGCTGATTTCTAAGCCAGTCGAAAATATAGCATTTTCTCAAGAACAACCTGTTGTTGGTAGCTACAGTAGTTTGCAGATTAAAATCATAAAACTAACATGTCTAATTACAAAGGAAATCCATGAATTGAACAGCTTGTTCTTTTAAGGAAAGGGTTGCCAGGGGGGAGAGGAAGGCAAGAACAGGACTAGCAGCTGCTTTTGCTGACCTGGGCTTAGCTCCAGTTGGGTTGTCAGCTCTTTACCATTTTTTAAAAGAATGTTTCAAGAATACAGCAAATATCAAGTACTAGGAGCACTTGCCAAAGTTGATTATATTTTCTGTCATTCTGTGCAAGCATGCAGGTGGGAGGCAAAAAACGTGCAGAATTCAGATTCCTGAGAATCTCAAGCTTCTAGTCCTTATGGTTTGACTACATGTCAGGCGAATCTCAGAAAGTAAGGTACTGAATAAATGAGATTTCCCAGTAGTCTTGGGCAGGATTTCAGACCCATTTTATGACAAGCAGAAACATCAAAATCTATGTGAAAATCTATGTGAAAATAAGCTTGATTTGTATAATCACAAAATTCCACTTTTGATGGGCTAATATTGTGTTACCTTCATGTAGAATCTTTATTTATACATGAATATGTGTGATTCTTCCCCCCAAAGAGAGCACATGGATGTAACTAATGAGGCCCCTTTCACAGATAATGAGACCCCTTTCACAATAGGACTTTTCTCCTTTTCTCCCCACCATGTGACCCCTGAGCACCCCTATTCTTGTTCTGGGGTTCCCCCAACCCTCCAGAGCAGATTTAGGGAGTGTGGGGGTGCATGGTGAGAGTGGCGGGGAAGTCCTGTTGTGTCAGATGACCTTGTTCCTCGCATGCAGCAACCTAGTTGAATCTCACCCTGAATAACAAGCTCCAGAACCTCCATTATTTATTCTGTCTATGACTCCTCACCTTTGGGGAGATAGAGACAGATTAGTCTATATCAGGGGTGTCAAACTCAAATTCATTGGGGGCCGCATCAGCAGTTTGGTCACCCTCAAAGGGCCGGTTGTATCTATACTATACTATGCAAAGTGGAGGTTTCCTGTGTAGAACGGCCGGCGCCGCTAGAGGGCAGACGTTCTCTGGCTTGTAGGCTGCCGTGCATGCGCTGAAGAGGCGGCTTTCTTGTGTCAAAAAAAAAAAAGCGAGAATAAAAGGTGAAGGCTGGCAGCCGGCGGCGGCTACACGGGCCACATGACGAGGTCTGGCGGGCCGGATTCAGCCCGCGGGCCTTGTGTTTGACACCTGTGGTCTATATCAAGGTGGGGAAACTCAAGCCCTGGGCCTCTTCTTCTGGTCCCCAGAACTCTCCACAAGCCACACTCCTTGTTGGCCTTTGCTTTGCTCCTGGAGTATTTTTGCCTGGCTGGAACGATAATGCCTTTTGCTTGCTTGGATGGATGGAGCACAGAGAAGGCTGTGTCGTGTGTGAAGAAACTAACCTGCTGCACGAAGTTAACATTTATGCTTGTTGCTCTAATCACTTTTGCCTCTGGATCTGCTCATCAGTGGCATATGGCCCTCAAGATAGGATTTATCTTGCCTGGGCCAGATCGGTCCTGTGGAGATCCCTCCATTGGCCGGATTGTGCACACGCGTGAGCGCGCCCACAATTTTCTGTGTCGGCGCAGATGTGATTTTCGGGGTCTGCGCAAATGCAGACACGGTTTCCGGCGCTGCAGAAGTGAGTCCCTGTCCGCGCTGTGCCAGTTTAGCACAGCGCATGAGCGGGCAGCTTGG